ATTCAGAACATTAAAACCTTATTAACCAAGCTCAAACACTCAGCCTAACGAAGTCAGGCTCGAGTTAATCCGTGTTTTCTGACAGTTTTGGAACGGATCGGAGAAGAAACAAGGTCTGTAAATACATAAAAATCCATCAGTCGCCGATAATTCAGAAACGATCAGCCGCGCGTGAATTAATATTCCTCGCAGAGAGATGTTTGTTTGAAACGTTTGCATAACGTGCTTAACAGCGATCGAGCGAACGAGAGCAGAGAATTTTCTGCGCCGTTCATGAATATTTCATGGCTGTACCGGGCACATCGATGCATTCTCTGGCACGATCCTTTAATCAACAAGGATCTCGATTGCATTAACACCCGGGCGATCCTCTCACCTCTACGCAAATACGTGACACAAGCTCGCTTGTGCGTGCGTGCGTGTCTTCCTTTTGTAGAAATTTCACAGGATTCTCTCCTTGATTTCTTGAATTTTTTCGATGAACAAGCAAACTGATTGACAATCGACGTAGATTGAAATTCACGCGTAGAAGGCCTGAAGATTATTTGCGTTTTATATTGTTGGCTTCCTGTCGAGTCCTTGATTTCTGAACCAGTCTTTGTTTACTCGTTTGGGACAAAGTGCAGTTCGTTGGAGAAATTGTATTGTGACTAACTGACCTGATAGTTCACCACTGTCTTCGTTTCGGAAATAAAGCTCTTTCTTCCGTCGAATAAATGAGAAAAAAAGTTGAGCTTTTAGCCAAAGCGAACGATTTTACGGTGAATAGACACCAAATGGCATTTCCCAGAGATATTTGTGCGCAATTAGGAAAAAAAAAGGAAACGTGACTTCTTACACTGATCAAAGTTTAGTTTATTTAGAATGCATAGGAAAATATCGATCGTCTCGTAGCTGGTTTCTCCGCTTAGTGGACTCGGGGAACGTTGCCGCGACAATAGAATTATTCATACTTCGTTTAGTCCGAGTCCATAGTCAACTTGAAAAATACAGCCACGAACGAACTACGAAAGTATTTCTATTCCAGAAACAATGAAAAAGACACCTCTGCTTCAGGTTTTAGCACGATGAAACAATTTTTAGAAACAATTTCCAAAAGAGCTAGTTCCAAACCCAGTTCCAATTTTCCCTCAAACGTTCGTTCCACGAGAGAGATTACTTCCGAGAGAGATCGAGGAGACGAGGCGGCGAATCGTCACTCGAGGAGAGGGGGGGGGGAAAAAAAGGGAAAGATCGTCTCGAATTCGTGGTCGAATCGCGGAGAACGCGTGGTCGTTGGTCGCGAGCGAAACGCCTCCCAGAGACGCGCGCGACAGCCAAATATCTGGACGTAAAATTGGACGCGCGTTGGCGTGCGATGATCCGCAGGCCGTACCAGAAGAAATCGCCGACCCCGAGCGGCGGTGGTGGCAGCAGAACGGGTTGGCGATCGCGCAGAAGCATCACCACGGCAGGTGCATCGGCTCACCAGCACCACGTGATCGCCAGTGCAGCTGCGACTGCACAGGCCAGGATGCAAGCCGAACAGGGGAGCATCGGTGAACTGCGTGGCTACCACAACCTCAGGTCGAGGAGGCACACTTTGGCCAACGTTCGGTGAGTGATCATTTTGACTCACGTTGACATTTACAGCGAACCGTTCACTTGAACTGCCATTTACGATCGCTATCCGATGGAAATGATCAGTTTACGGACTTTCCGTGGAAAATCCGGGAATTTTCACTGGGCCAGTGATCTTGATGTGAAATCTCTGTCAAACCTCTGACGTGACTATCTGCAACTACACTGATCACAGTTTCCAACTATCCGCAGAGATTTCATAGACTTTTCATCATCACCGTGCCACGAATAAAGACTTGTACTATGAATTCTCGTTCATTTCTCCGGTAAAAATGTCGAATTTTTGCCGGAACCAGAGGAACAGTGAGAAATTTCATAGATCTTTCTCCAAGATGTAGAAATAAATCTTCGTCCATTCCTCGTGACAGTGAAAATATCAAATTTCTGATACAACTAATCCTAGAGTTAACTGGTTTAAGACTGGTGATAATGACCAGTTTTAAACTTTTTAACTTACGTAAAATTTCGTAGACTTCTCTTCACGTGTAGAAGACAAGAACAAATTTTTGTTCATTCTTCGTAACAATGAAAATGTCAGATTTCTGATACAACTGATGCTAGAATTAACAGACTGGTAGACAATGAGAAAATTTCACAGGCTTCTCGACAAGATAAATGAATAAGAAATTCATATTGTAAACTCTCGTCTATCCCTCGCAATAAATTAATATCTCTCTGATAATCTTCTTAAGAATAAATCGATCAAAGTGACCGAAGAAATTGAATTTAATATTTCATCGTTTGAACATCTGTGTTTGATGTTTAATTATTTCAGCATTGAGTACTAATTTTGTCGTTCCAATGCAGACCAACGGCGGCTCGAAAGCTCTGCGAGTTTAACTTACATCGATGTTAACACCGAAGGCAGTAAATCTGTCGTTCCGATGGCTTTCGGGATTTCGTTTTGATTCAGATCCATTAGTTTCGCCGAGCGTTTGACTTAAATAGACCTTGACGCGGGCAACAGCAATATCTGCCATTCCGATTGCCGAGTCTGTGATTTCTACGAATTTTTATCGTCGTCTCGGATGAATTTCGACGCCGAGAGCAGCGAATTTGTTGTCTTGCTGGATCTTTCGTTTACCATTTTCATTCGTCACTCCGTGTCGAGCTTTACCTCGAAATCCAGAAACCTCGAACTACTTCAAACGTTACTGTGAGAAGAACCCTGGTAACTGCTTTCAGAAAGCAACAATTCACAAAAGTCCAAAAGGGCAAAATATGACTCCAACGTTCAACGCATTGAACAAACGTAGCGTAATGAAAGTGAAGCACTTTGGGAAAGTGCGTGCAAACGTTTCATCGCGGCAGATAATATTTCGTTGACCTCTCGCGATGTTTTACTTGTTGCTTGTCGGTATTGATTGTTTAGTGGAGCAGCCATTGGGATGCTGCTTCTAGACGGTGTCTAGCTTGTTTTACACCAACGACCTTTTCTTTTACGATCGCCGTGCTCGTCGCAAGGGAAACGTTTCCTCCTTATACACTTTTTGAAAAATTCCCCCCTCCCTTCGTTCGACGAAGCAACGAGCGTTGCGTTTCGTTTCTAGGATTCTGCTTGGAAATAGAACGAAAGATGAGTCATGCGCAAAGTGAGTTTGACACGTCTATTTTCGAGCCGAGAATTAGTCGATCGAAAACGGAGAGACTCGTTTGGAACCGATTCGTTTCGGTTTGATGACAAATTGTAATTGCCCCGTGCCAAATACTCCATCTGATCTACGAGGTAACGAAATTTTACGAAGGCGGCTAATAATTTCTCGTCTCTTTTAATAATCTCCGGCCACTATTAATACGCAGATCAGCGATACCACGTATGATACGTCCGAACGAAAATATTTTCTTAATCGATATATAGCCGAGTTTGAAACACCGGTTAAAAGTTTCGTGCCAAAGTTGTCAATTTGTCCCAGATTTCAGTTCACGAAATTTCACAGTTTTTGTTTTTTTTCAAATCTCTCTGTCTCTGGTATTTTTTTTTCGATTTCGAAGCAAAAAAGAAAGAAAGGAAATCAATCCGTGGAAAATTTTACAAAAAAAAAGAAAAAAGAAAAAGAAATCCGAAAGGAAAACATTTTACGGCGAAAGTAGAAAGGCAAACCGGATTGGAAATTTAATCTCTCGTCCTCTTTTTCCGAGTCTGATCCGGATGGAACGAGTCGCGACTGACGAAAATCCGACAAAAAAATTCCCCGACGGAAATAAAGAACTTTCGAGATTCCCTGATGGACGATCGACGATTTATTACGAGCATACGGACGAATTTACATTTTGCACGGTCACAAAGCAGCATTTAACCACCGATGTACATCGAATATGGCGAGGATATTCCTTTCCTTCCCTCCGTGCCGCACAGTTGGATAATCTGAAATTTAATTTCATGCTGACGGTTGATCCTATTATGCGTTGCTTCGATAAAAGAACCATCGACCCCCCTCTCTCCCCCCAGGACAATAACCAAGCGTTATTGATTCGAATTCGAGCGCCATTCAACCGGCAATATTATTGGAAATTACATACCATTTCCTTTGTCACATCCATCTTTGACTTTGTTCTGTTTCTCTTTCTGCTCGGTCCCTCCTCCTCCCTCACCAAGATTCTTGGTAAGCGTTAAGAATGTCGTCACTGTTCATTCGTACATCAAAGACCGACAAGTATTATTCGAGGCGACTCCGTCGATAGTCATCGAGCTGAAACGTCACCGAGAGATGGGTGTAGCGAGTTCTCAGCGTAGCTCGGTGAATTCGTTCACACACTGGGAGGAAATAAATTTGCTCGATTTCTGTCGCGGCTTCTCGATTCCACCTGTTTGTTTCGATTTCGATTGTTTCGAGTAAACAGCCAGCAACGCGGTGCATTTTGGCATCGGCAAGCGATAGATTTATATCTCGGCCAAAGAGGAGATATAATAAATTCGTCGGAAGAGAGGAGAGTATCGCATTGCGATACCAGACGACGTGGAGACCAGAAAATAGAGAAACTTTCTGTCCACGATACGCGTATCGTATACGAAGATACGAAGTTTCCGATAAACGTACCATGAAAGAGTATAGACTCTCATTCAGCCAGTTGTCTATAAGATGCGAGATAAGCGAACGTTCACTTTGCGAAAATTTGGAACGTAGATCCTCGTAAGTTTAGGTGAAACTTGGTCTGCTTTGGGTTTATTTCTTGGGAAAATTCTTCGTGCTAGAGATGATGTCTTGAACGAGATGGTCCTCTATTATCTCACAGTCTCAATTTAAATAAACAGAGATGCAAGATTTTCCTCACGGGTAATTCAAATTTTGCCAATGATAATATTCAATAAATGTGTCTCACCTAACCCAACTGTCCTCGGCTCTTCTCGTGATTTCTTTTCAAAAGACAAAGCACAGAGATTAGTCGGGATCACCGCAAGCACAGTGTACCTTCTTCATAACCCCAGGCTTCACTTCTATCAACCCACTGCAAGCACAGCCCACTGTGGCACTCTGATCCTCGTCACTGTCATCCACTCTCCTCGGCTTAGCCTTGGGAATCTTCGCCATGCAGCTCTGGTCCGCTGACTTCCTTTTTACCTTCTCGCGACAGGGCAGAGCCTTCTTAGGCTCAGTTTCGCAGGTGTAGACCTCCTGATCTCTCGTCGACTTCTTGGTAGCTCTCCTCAATGAGTCCTGCGCTCGCAGAGTCTGTTGAAGCTTCCTCAGTTTGCATTTTGAATAGACTGCCTCGTGCTGCGTCGTCTGATCGATGCCAGGACTGACCCTCGTTCCAGTTGTTGGAACGTTTGACACGATTCTGAACACCGACGTTGGTGCCTGTCCTTCTACTTGCGTTCTAGAAGTTTGCAGAGGAGTGGGCATGGTCCTGCCGCATTGACAACAGTTGCATTTGCCCTCATCTCGATCCAGCTCCCCAGAATTTTTGCCGTAGTAGATGGATCTCAGTTCCCTTTCTGGTTCCCTTTCTCGTTTCTTCTCGGCTCGCAGAGTTTGCAGCACCGCTGACAGAGGATGGTCGGGTGGAAGGGGACCACGAGCACCAGAAGGAACACCGCGAAGAGGTCCTAGAGGACCAGGAAGGATAGTGGGGCTCTGGATGACGAAAGGTCGTTCGACAGCTGGACCGCGAGGATCGCCAATTTCTGTCGCGCTAATATGGACGGAACTAATATGGCTCTTGTGCGTATGCGAGCTTTCGGTGACAGTCATAGCCGCGAACTGTTCCTTCAAAGGCCTCTCATAATTCAGCAGTCGTTCTATGGTCTCTGGATCAGGGTCTATAGCTCTTGTGATGGTCACCAGTTGTGGTTGAGCTTGTCTGGTGATTCTTGGCGTTGTTTGTGTCTCCACGTCTATGACCGTTTGCGTTACCACTTGGACAGTTTCGATTCTTGTGATCTCCGTCTGGGTAATCTCTATCTTCTTGGTAGGCTGTAAGACGATAATGCGGAAAATATTTGAAGTTGCTATGCTGCTGTGAAAAATATTTTTAAAGGCGTGAAATAATTTGTCACTAACAGGAGGCGGCACAAGTGGACAGATGCAAGGAACGAATTCTTCCTTTTCTACAGGTGGCTCTTTCCATATAGGTGTCTCTTCTTCTGGTACTTTTATCTCATCTAGTAATACTTCAACTTCTAGTAATACTTCTTCGACAGCCACTGGAGCTTCGACTCCTTTCTCCTCTTCCTCCATCAGCATTTCTTCGAGTCTCTTCTCTTCCAGAGGAACCCATTTTACTTCTTCTTCTTCCTTCTTTGGCTCTTCTTCGATTTCCACATCAATTTCTTTTTTCTCCGCTATCACCTTGACTGGGACATCTTCTTCTATCTTTGCCAATGGTTCTCCGATTTCTTCTTCAATTTTTTCTTCCTCTTTCATCGGAGGAACCTCATCCTCGTCCACTTCGGGGATCGTCGGCATTTTCTCCGGCTCCTTCGCTACTTTCGGAGTTTCCTCCAGCCTTTCTTCCAATATCGCGTCTTCTTCCAGCCGAGGACTCACGGCAGGCGCAAACGGTGTGGTTGGCGGCTCAGGAGGGTGCTCAAACTCGAGTTTCAGTTCCACCGCCGCGTCAGGTTTAACTTCAACTTCCTTCTCCCCTATCTTCGGCGGGACTTCAGCTTCAGTAACTTCTGGCTTCGCTCGTATTTCACTTTCTATCTCGGGAAATTTTTCTTCGGGCCTTTTCACCGTCGCTTCCTGCCGAGATCTCGCCGCTATTTCTTTCACATTGGTCTGAAAGGAATCAATGGGCCAACTGTCGGTGGAAGATGAAGAAGTATTGGTTATCGGGGCTTCTATTTTATCGAAATTGAATTACGCTTCACGTTTTTTTCTCTCACATCTATATATGTGATTCTTTTTCTCTTTTACGAAGTATTGCCTAACCGATCTAAAATTACAAACTTGTTGTATTATCTTGTTGTGAATTAGAAAGTTAAAGGTTTGAAGTTTAAGAATCTTGAAATCAATTTGCAAATTGCGATATCGAGTCAACGCGTTCGGAAATTCACTGCAGCTCTTAAATTTCGAAGTTGTCATGAAGTCTACGTTGGATTTGAATGAAGAATTTATCGCACTCACTCCAGTGTACGCTGCCATCTCAGTCGCCAACTGATCGGCTTCTTTCTTCACGTCCACGCAATCAGGGCATTCCTGCATTTAAAAGTTAGATACATTCGGTAATTCTTTATTTAAAAGATAAATATTACAAAGAGTACCGCGATTGTTGTTCGAATAGTGTCAACATCACTCTGCCACGATAACATCTCTTTTCTTGGAACCAAGATGTTGTCCCTGTCAATTTTATCCTCTGCATATTTTGGAACTGGTGCTCCTTCCTTTTCAATTTTCCTAGGTTCAGAAGGAGGGACTGTTTCAGTAGGTTTGATGTCTTCTTCAGGTCCAATTTCTCTAACAGGCCTAGGTTCAATTTCTTCAATAGGTCTAATCTCTTTGACAGGTTCAGCTTCGATTTCTTCAATAGGTCTGACATCTTCAACAGGCCTAGGCTTAACTTCTTCGGTAACTGTAATTTTCCCAACAGGCTCAATTTTAGTTTCTTCAATAAGTCTGACTTCTTCAGCAGGCCTAGGTTTGATTTCTTCAGTAGGTCTGATTTCTTTATCAAGCTCAGCTTTAGTTTCTTCAACAGGTCTGATGTCTTCTACAAGCCTAGTTTCTTCAACAGGTCTGATGTCTTCTACAGGCCTAGTTTCTTCAACAGGTCTGATATCTTCTACAGGCCTAGTTTCTTCAACAGGTCTGGTTACTTCAACGACAGCCTTAGCTTTGGTTTCTTCAATTGGTGTGATATCTTCTAAAGGTCTAACTTCTTCAACAGGCCTAGGTTTGATCTGCTCAGTGGGTTCATAGTGTTCCACAAGTCTCACATCTTCAGCGGGCTCAGCTTCGATACCTTCCACAGGTCTAATTTCCTGTATAGGTTTAATAGCGTCCTCAACATATTCAATGTCTAGCGCAGACTCGTACTTCTCAACTTCGATATCCTCGGCAGGTTCGATTTCTTCAGTAGGTTCCACGGGTGTGACTTTCTCGTCAGCTTCAACTTCTTCCGCAGGTCGAATTTCTCTGAAAGGTTCAATCTCCTCCGCTATAACTTCTTCGGCAACGATTCTCTCTTCCTTGTCTGGCTGAACAGTTTTCACTTCCCTTTCAATCTGTGCCTTCAACAGTCTCTCACGCAATTCTATAGCCTCAGCTGTTTCTCGAACTGTCATCTCAGCCGCGTCGAACTTCCAGCCATACTTTTCTAACAATTCCTGTGGTGTGACACGATTTTCGTT